CACGCACCACCGCCCTCAACACGGCCAATCACCACCACAATCATCACCCGCCACCGCCTTCACTGCGGCCATCACCACCATGATCCATCACGATCATCACCACCCACCACGGCCCTCACCACCATCACCGTCGATCCTGCCACCCTCACTGCCACCACCGTCTTCATCACCATGATGACTCCCCGAGGTCACCTTGGGCAGTTGAGTCGGCATTGCCATGAATCACCTGGGTGTGGGCCATGGGACAGGTTGACAGTGGCTCTGAGTGTCAGAGAACGAACCTGAACCCAGCACAGAGCCTGGCCACAAAGACCAGGAAGACATAAGAGGCCGCAGCCCAGCGTCCCGATCCTGACCCCAGCTCCCATCTGGACACGAGCCGTGTGGAGTCCACAGACAGGAGGACCGCAGAAGCCAGAGTGCAGAAGGCTCTCCGAGCACTGACTCCAGCCAAGGAGGAACCCTGGGGCAGGCAGCAGCCCCGAAATTCACACACCTGAAAGCACAGAACACTGAGTATTTGAAGCCCAAATTTCCACTCCTGGGGAGGTAGCTCGACTGCAGAGTTCTTGCCTAGTGTTCAGGAAATCATGGACTTAATTCCCAGCACCACAAGAGGAGGAAAAGTTATCTTTAGAAGGGCTCAGAGCAGAGCCTGTCTGGAGCCACGCAGTCCTGCGGCTCCACCTTGCGGCCACACCAGGAGGAGCACAGGCCGGCCGAGGCATAGGCTGGGCCGGGGCGTGGAGACCGGCTCTGTCCAGAGAACAACATGAGAAGTGGAGCGCAGTCAGCCGTCTTCTTGTGCAAACCAGCGGGGTCCTCTCTCCAGACCGAGCCTGCTGAGGCCGGCTGGGTCTCTCCCCTGCCTGGGCCCGGGGAAGGGCCAGGCCCCAGCAGCCCTGCCGCCCCTCTCAATTCTGACCCAGTCAAAAAGAATCAGCGGGTGGGGAAGGGCCCCCACCCCCGTTCTGTTCAAGCTTGGTGTAGGTTACTAATCCCTTTTCTTTCTTGGGTCCGTCGTGGGGCCTGAACTATGTCCTTCATCTCTTCAGCTCAAGGCTAGCGCTCTACCACTTGAGCCAGTGCCACTTCTGGTTTTCTGGTGGTTTTGAAGAGTCGCGGACTTTGCTGCCCAGGCTGGCTTTGAACCTCGATCCTCAGACCTCAGCCTCCTGAGTAGCTATGATGACAGGCGTGAGGCTCTGTGCCCGGCTGCGAATACTCCTTTTATGCTTTACTTTTCCTTAAAGTGCGCCATGATGCCGCAGCCAAGCTGCTCATGGCCGGCACTGAGCTATTCAGAGGCCAGCCCGGCCGTAGCTCATAAGGCACTGAGGGCCCTGTGCCAGGTCTCTGCCACCACCGAAGCCCCAAGGCTGGAGCTTGAGCCCTGCCCTGCTCCACGTGAACACAGACCCCGCACAGCCCTGCCCCGCGAACACAGACCCGCACAGCCCTGCCCTGCCCTGCCCAGCGGTCCTGCACGGCGGGGCCCCTCTGTCCTGTCCCCCCCCCCTGGGGTCACGCACGGGCAGCGGTCCTGCACGGCAGGGCCCCTCTGTCCTGTCCCCCCCCCCGGGGTCACGCACGGGCGGCGGTCCTGCACGGGCAGGCCGCGCGGGGCACGCTGGCCCCCTGTGGACGTGTGCACGCGCGGCCCAGCCCCCGCCGCTGGACACCGCCTGGCCCTGGGATGCGGCCATCTCATGGACATCGGCTCCCCCTGCCGCTGGCCCACTGCCCTACCAGACCCGCCCGCATACGCTGGGGCTGCTTCTAGAAGCCCCGAGATGAGCCCCGGGGCACTGCACACCGCAGGCCACCTCCCCCACCCCGGCCCGCACCCTCCTGCCAGCGGTCACGCCGGCCCGGCCCGTGCGTGGACCCCTCGGCTCGTGCTCCCGCCGGCCTGCGTGCCCACTGGGAGCACTCCAGCCCAGGGAGGCCCTTTCTAGGCCAGCAGAAGGAGCCTGTGTGCTCACCTGGTGGCCCAATTTGTGCCCTAATTTCACGAGCAGCCTCTGGGACAGCTGCTGGCACCTGAGCGGGCCAGCAGTAGGACACAAGATGGCCAGAGCGTAGGCCAGGGCGAGTCGAGACCAGATCCAGGAGCCTCGGCAGGCCGAGTGGGCTCCGCGTGGAGAGCCTGGCAGGAAGATGAGCACAAAGGGATTCTGGGCCGTCTTGGTGGAGACCAGGTCCCAGGGGTCTGGAGGAGCATGAGGTACCGGGCAGATGGGGACACTGCACTCCTCTGGCAAACAACGGGCGGGGTGGGGGGTGGCCTGCAGAGGCGGCCGAGGAGCACTTGAGGCCCTGGGTTCCATTCCTGCACAGAAAAAGCCGGAAGTGGCGCTGTGGCTCAAGCAATGAGCGCTAGCTTTGACAGCGCCCAGGACCTGAATTCAACCCCAGTACTGGCAAAAAACAAAAACAAAAAGTGGGGGTAGGGTCAATACCAGACTGCCCTACACAGTGATCACCCCCCACACCCCAGCCCTGCCCCTCCCCCAGCCTGCCCTCTGTAATGCGCACCCCAGGAACCAGATCAGTGGGACAGGCACCCCAACCCAGGCCTGAACCCAGGGCCACACCAGTACTTGCATCCCCTTGCTATGAGCATCTTGGTTCTATTTTTATTCTTGGTTGTCTGAACTCTGGGCCTGGGCGCTGTCCCTCAGCTCTTCAGCTCAAGGCCAGCGCTCTACCACTTGAGCCACTGCGCCACTTCCAGTTTTCTGGTGAACATTGGAGGTAAGTCTCACAGATGTTCCTGCCTGGGCTGGCTTTGAACCACGATCCTCAGATCTCAGCCTCCTGAGTAGCGAGGATGACAGGCATGAGCCACCAGCACCCGGCTGCATCTTAGAAAACACCTAGGTATGGTGGGCCTGCTGTGGGGCGTGCTAAGCAGTACAGGGTCCTGGGCCATGAGGCTCGTGGTATTCCCACTGGAGCTCAGACCAGAGACATTCCTGCACCACAAGTGCACAGCATCCAGGGCCTTCTGGCAGGACCCTTTAACCTCATGTTCTAACTCCAGAGTTCTCTTCCCGGGGTACCCCTACGGGATACGTACGGGCCTGCATACCCAAAGCACAGGGGGACCTAAGCAGGAAGGGTGTGCACAGGCCAGCCCCAACGTAAACCTCCCCCGCGCTGAGATGCAGCCATCAGCCCCGAGGCAGGCTGGCCCTGGCGGCCTCAAGCTCCCCATACCCCAAATCCACAGAAGACAGTAATCCCTCATTTCCTCCCATGCCCCAGTTCCAGAGGTGCCTCCCAACCCAGCCACACGCCAAGCCCAGCAGTGAGGCACAGGTGACCCCATTTCACCAGCCCCGGCAGGGAGGTCTGCCAACCAGTGCCGGGCCCACGCCATCTGTCCACTGACCACCTCCCCGCCAGGCCCAGCACTGGGGGGTCCTAACGCCCAGGCAGTGGCCGGATGGCTCGTCTACAGAGCCCAGCCCCAGAGCACTGCCTCTCCTAGTCCTGTGCGGCAGCCTGGTGTCCTCCCTCCCCCCCCCCCGCAGCCCCTGGTTGCTGTCTGGGGGCCCCTGCCCAGGGTGCAGCCCTGCACGTGCGTCACTTCACAGTCCCTAGGGAGCCCCTCTGCTGAGAGCTGTCGAGGTGCTCGGCAGAGCTGTGCAGGGCTGATGAGCGCAGCGCTTCCCCAGCCCCCTCCCCTCCCAACGCAGCAACCCCGCCCCGGGCCCCCAGCCCAGCCAGAGGCCCCCGCCCCGGCTCCCTCAGCCCAGCCAGACTGACTGACTCCTTCAGGGTGCTGTCAGCTTGAAGCCACAGCACAGGGAGCAACTCCTGGGAGGCCCAGGCCCCTGGGCAGAGGGGGGGGCCCCACACCTGGCCAAGGCCTTCAGCAGCCCTGGCAGCCAGGAGGCCAGTGACGGCAGGGCAGGGGTCCCGGCCTCCCTCCACCCAAGGCGCCTTCTGGTCTGGGTGCCCCTGGCCCCCAAGGCAGCCCGGAAGCCCCGGCACCTGCAGGGCCCCACTGTACGCCAGGAGGGGTCAGCAGAGCCGCGGGGGCGGGGGGAGCTCCTGGCCCAGCCCAGCCAGGCGGTGCCGGCCCCAGGTGGCAGGAGTGGGCGGGGCGCCTGCCCGGCTCTGCCAGCCTCGCTGCCCAGCCCTGCAGAGCTGCCCATCGCTGCTCATCGCCGCCCGCCTCTCCAGCCACCACCGCTCCCCACCACACGCTCTTGCTTGTCATCTTCCAGAGTAAGTTCAGCCAGCAGGCGCCAGGCAGGAGGGGGGACCAAGGCCCCCTACCCTCCACACCCAACCCCAACTTCTGAGGGCAAGGCAGGGCGGCGGGACGGCCGCGGCGGGACACAGGCACAGGCAGGGCAGGGCCCGAACCTCGGGCTCTGGGGAAACCTGTCTGCGGGCCATCAGCCCCGCTTCTGGCCGACCCCCTCCTCCCAGGCCAGGCTCCAAGGCCCGAGGGGTGCAGCCTCACACCCCAGGGTGCTCTGCCCAGCCTAGCCCAGGCAGCCAGGGTGGGGCACAAAGGGACTGGCGGATGCCCTGGAGACAGGAAGGGCAGGGGCAGCATCCCACACCTGCACTCAGCTGGCTCAGCTTGGGATGCAAATGGCAGCCACACCCCTGAGCCGTGGGCTTAGGTCCTGCCGGGGGCTCCCACCTGGGCACAGCGGGAGGAGGGTACGCAGCCCCCCAGGGGCCCTGGCTTGCAGGGCTGCGGGGGAGGGGGCTGGCGCGGGCACCCTGGGCCTCGGCAAGGAGGCTGCGGAGCGCGGTGCAGAGCCTGGGATGGAAGTTTGCCCTGCAGTTAATGAGCTCCTTTGGGGAGGGGAGGCCCTGGCTAACGAGGCTGTCTGGGACATCTGGGCCCTGCGCCCTGGCACCACCTCCGTGGACCTCAGGCCACGCCGGCAGGGAGACGGCCCCAGGCCCGGACCCCCTCCCTCAGTCCTGGGGGCTCAGGACGGGACATGAGCGCGGTGAGCAGCCCTGGCTGTTGCCTCTCCCCTGCCCCCCAGCTCCAGGCTGGCGACTTCCGAAGCCCCCGACCCCATGGAGGAGTGGGACGTCCCACAGATGAAGAAAGAGGTGGAGAGCCTCAAGTACCAGCTGGCCTTCAAGAGGGAGATGTCTTCCAAGAGCATCCCGGAGTGAGTGCCGCCCACCCAGCACCTCGACCGCCTGCCCAGGCCGCTCATTTGCATGAGCCAGGACCAAGGGGGCAGGGGAGGGGCCATGGGAGGGACCAGAGGGGGCAGGGGAGGGGCCATGGGAGGGGCCAGAGGGGGCCATGGGAGGGGCCAGAGGGGGCAGGGGAGGGGGCCATGGGAGGGACCAGAGGCCAGAGGGGGCAGGGGAGGGGACCATGGGAGGGGCCAGAGGGGGCAGGGGAGGGGCCAGAGGGGGCAGGGGAGGGGCCAGAGAGGAGGCATGGAAAAGGCCAGAGGGGGGCTGGGAGGGGCCAGGGGAGGGGCCAGAGGGGGGCACGGGAGGGGCCGCACCCTCAGGTAGCCAGGATGGCGGCTGGCACTCTCCGGCACTCATGCTGGCCCCACCCACAGGCTGCTGAAGTGGATTGAGGACGGGATCCCCAAGGACCCCTTTCTGAACCCCGACCTGATGAAGAACAACCCCTGGGTGGAGAAGGCCAAGTGTACCATCCTGTGAGCGCGGTTTGAGCAGCGCGGCTGCGGGTTTATAAAGACTTCTCCCTGTGTCTGTGTCTGCGTGCACTGGGGGCAGGGCCGCCAGCCCTGGGGCGGGCCTACAGCAGGTCCCTGATGTACGGGCTGCGCCGCACGGCGTTGGAGACGCCCTCGTTGAAGCGGAACCACACCTCGCTCCTGCCCAGGGCTGTGCCCATACGCTCGGCAGCGTCCTCTGCAGCCTTGGCCTCTGTGGGGACCACACCGTTTCACCCCAACTAACCTCCTACGCCCCCCCTCGCCCCCCGGCCCCGGCCCGCCTCCCCAGCCACCACACACCTGTGCTTGGGGTTGCAGCTCTCCTGACCACCACTCGTCCAAAGAAGTCCCTCTCGGGCTGGTGGGAAAAGAGCCATCAGACCCGTGGCCTGGGGTGGCGGGGGAGGATGGGGGGAATGGGTCTGGCCAGCAGATCAGTAGAGAGAGAAGGGACTTAGGGCCTTCCCAGGGCAGAAAGGACACAACCACCTCTGAGCAACGTGCCAAGGCCAGGGAGCCGCTCCCGCTCCAGCCCGAGAGGCCGCACGGCCTGCCTCTCCCGCAAGGCCACCCCGCCCAGCCCGCACCTGCGCCTCCAGCGCCACCCCCTTCACGATGTGCTCCAGCCGCTGCTCGTGATTGCGCAGGGCAGGCCGCTTCTCCCCTTTCTCCACACTGCTCCCCTGCGGGCTGGCAGGATCTGGGGGGACCCCGGCCACCTGCAGGAGCGATGTGAGGGTCATTAAACAGGGCCAGGCCACGGTCATGTCCACCTCGGGGCTGGGGGCCAGCTCACCTGGGGGCTGTCTCCGGCCCAGGCCAAAGCCTCTGCCCGTCGCATCTTCTCCACCTCAATCTCCCGGGCAATGAGCTGCTTGACCTGGTAGGAAAGGGGCTTGCGGGCGGGCATCTGAGGGAAGCGGCAAACTTCCTCCATGTTCCTGTTCACGTGGTCAGAGAACACCAGGGCACTGGTTACCAGCCAGAGACACGGATGGCGCCTGACCTGGCGCGGGGGTGCGCGGGAGATCCTGCCACGCCACGCCTCCCCGTCCCACGGCAGTCAGCGCCCCTGGCACACGCCCACGAGCCCACGGCGAGCGCCCCCAGCTGTACCAAGGGGGGGTGCTGTGAGAAGCTGAAGCTGCCCGGGCCCCTCACGGGCAGCAGGACCCAGCCTGTGGCAGCCACACGCCACCGCAAAGGGAGCCGAGCACGCACAAGGGAGACGCCGAGTCTGCACGACTCCGCAAGGCTCCCCAAGCAGGGCCCCCAGCACGGCCGCGGCTGCGCTGGCCTGGACCCCCCCGGCCTCCCCGCTCCCCGCCGTGAGCTCGGGGGGACTCACGGCTCCAGCTTGTAGAGGTACTGCCCATCCGGGGTGCGCGCCTGGCGGTAGGTGAGGCTGTAGGCTAGCATGGTGCCCACCAGGCTGGACAGCTGTTGCTTCTCCCGGGCGCTGTACAGCTGCGTGCTCACCTAGGCAGAGGGGGGCGGAGAGGAGGCTGAGCAGGGGAGGCCCGGCAGCCAGAGCCCGCGCATCTCCGTGGTGCGCAGCGCTCACCGGCCGCAGCTTGGGCGCGAGGACGTCCAGAAGCAGGCAGAGGGTGTCCAGGACGAGGGCCTGCGGCGTGGCCCGGCTGCGGGTGGCCGGCGTGATGCCTGACACCAGCGTCTGGATCAGGTTCCTCGTGTGGTTCATGCGGCTCTGGGCCTGGGGCAGAGAGTGAGCCAGGGCCGAGCTGGGAAGAGCCGGAGGCCGGGAGGCCGGGCCGGGCCGGGGCACAGGTGGGACAGGCTCACCTCCTGCTGACTGCTGGGGAAGGAGATGCGTGGCACGTGGCTGCAGGCAAAGAGCACGTGGAAGGCCGCGGGGAGGAAGGGCAAGTAGCACAGAAGCTGGAAGTTCTGGCCCTGGTAGGCAGCCCCCTCCACCAGGTCGTTGAAGGCCAGCCAGTCAAGGCCCGAGCACACCGTGCCCAGGCTGGAGTCCCGCAACCGGAGCCTCAGGAAGTTGTCAAACAAGCCCTGCGGGCAGCGGGGCCTCAGTGCCGTGCCTGGGCCTGGCACCCTGCCCCTCACGGCAGACACCACCGAGTGGGCCCCTGTAGATCTATCTGGGTGTAGGAATCTGCTCCCAATGCTAGGGAGTGGCTACAGGCCAAGGAGCCCACACTGACGGAAGACAGCAGCCCCAACCAGAGACAGCGGCACGGCGCCCAGCTCTGTGGCCGACCCACGGCCCCTCCTCACCCAGCCCTGTGGCATCCTCCCCACCCACGGCCCCTCCTCACCCAGCCCTGTGGGCTCCTCCCTACCCACGGCCCCACCTCACCCAGCCCTGTGGGCTCCTCCCCACCCACGGCCCCACCTCACCCAGCCCTGTGGGCTCCTCCCCACCCACGGCCCCTCCTCACCCAGCCCTGTGGGCTCCTCCCCACCCCACTGCCCCTCCTCACCCCAGGTTTTCGGATGGGTCACAGATTTCCAGCTGCTAATCCAAAGCTGCTTAGCACTGGAGGCAGCTTAGGCAGGTTTTTGGGGGAGGGGGAAGACGCTGACTTGGGAATCCACCTCTACCTTGGGTACCCACATCCAAAATGGAGCTCCTCCGCTCCCAGGACGCCCCGCCCACCCTGGACTAGAGCAGAAGACCCACAACCTGCATCCCGGGACCCCGGCAGATCACAGGCACCCACTGACACACAGCCAGTTCCCCTCCCCCGCCCCCTGCGCCTCGGGTTTCAGAGGAAGGCGGGTACCTGGACCACCTTCTCATGCTCGCCCACAGCGGCGGCGACGCGCAGGATGTGGTGGAAACGCTGGGAGGCCAGCGACAGGGGGCCCGTGTCCTCCTCACCGTGCGGACGCGCCAGGGCTGGCACAAGCTGGCCCTGGCCCACGAGTCGCCTGCAGGCAGAAGCGGAACCAGGGAGTCCAGGGAGACACAGGGCACCCGCCTCTCTCAGAGGGTCATCCTGGCAACACCGGCGCTGGCCGGGGACACCAGAGGGCTGGCCGGGGACACCGGAGGCTGGCTTAAGCCCCCGGGCCTGGCAGGAAGACTGCTCAGAACTGACCTGGGGGCTGGGGCGGGTGTCAGGGAAGGGCATCTCAGCGACCAGTCTGAGCACACATCCCACGGACCTAGGAGGCTCAGAGAAGCCTGAAGGCTGGTCAAAGGCTGCAGGCCTCACGGCACTAGGTGTGATGCTTGGGTGCTGAACCCAGCTCAGGACACTATGGGTGTCTCTGGCCCTGAGCACTATGGCTGTCTGGGGCCAAAGCTGGCCTGGCATTCCTCCTACCTCTGAGCCCGGGGCAGCTGGAACACGTCCTGCCACACTGAGAAGAGCCCCTTGCGCTGGTCCTTGAGACCGACGCGGGTGGTCTGCACATCCCGCACACTCAGTTCCCGGCGGCCACGCCCGTACAGGAACTGGACAGAGTGGTCGAGTGAGAATCAGCTTCCCGCCTGGCCCACTGCCCAGGCCACCTCCCGCCCGCCCACCTGGGCCACCTCCCACCCGCCCACCTGTCCACTTAGGCCACCCACCTGTCCAGCTGGGCCACCTCCCACCCCCTACCTGGCCACCTCCCACCCGCCCACCTGCAAGGTGTTAATGCAGGCGCGGATGTCGTTGTCTGTCTTCTCGCAGAGAGCTGCCAGCGCGCCTGGGTCTGACCGCATGCCCTGCCGCAGGGAGATCTAGAGAAAGAGGCAGTCCACGCTGCTCCAAGAGCACAAGAGCAGGCCACTGGCCCCAGAGTCCAATCCCTAGACATAGGCAACAAGCCTATGTGAAACAGGTTCACAGGAAGCTGAGGTTCACAGGAAACAGGCTCACACAGGAAGCAGGCGCACAGGAAACTGAGCTCACAGGAAACTGGGGTTCACAGGAAATGGGCACATAGGTAACAGACCCACAGGAAGCAGGTGTCCACAGGAAACTGGCTCACAGGAAGCATGGGGCCCACAGGAAGAGGGGGCCCACAGGAAGCATGGGCTCACAGGAAGAGGGGGCCCACAGGAAGCATGGGCTCACAGGAGGAGGGGGCCCACAGGAAGTGGGGGCCCACAGGAAGCATGGGCTCACAGGAAGTGGGGGGCTACAGGAAACAAGGACTCACAGGAAATAGCCTACCCACCCACCACTACAGGCCAAGCTGATCCCCGACTAGATGGAGAAGGGGTGGAGGCATTTCAACGGAAGGAAAATAGGGGCGGGGTGGGAGGCCAGGGCTCCCCGTGCCCCCAAGCCTCCACTGACAGCCACCCCGCTGACCTCCTGAAGCCGCTGCACCAGCCTGGAGGGCAGAGTCGGGGGGACGTGGAGCAGGAAGGCCTGCTGCTTCAGCTGCCGCAGGGAGGGAGCAAACCTACGGGAGGGAGGGGCAGCACTGGCCGTACCACGGGCAGGCTCGGGCCCACGCCAGGGCAGGGGCCGCCCTCGCCAGGCCAGGGGCCGCCCATCGGGCCCACGCCAGGGCAGGCTCGGGCTCACGCCAGGGCAGGCTCGGGCCCACACCAGGGCAGGCTCGGGCCCACACCAGGGCAGGCTCGGGCCCACGCCAGGGCAGGGGCCGCCCACGCCAGGGCAGGCTCAGGCCCACACCAGGGCAGGCTCGGGCCCACACCAGGGCAGGCTCGGGCCCACGCCAGGGCAGGCTCAGGCCCACGCCAGGGCAGGCTCAGGCCCACGCCAGGGCAGGGGCCGCCCACGCCAGGGCAGGCTCAGGCCCACACCAGGGCAGGGGCCGCCCACGCCAGGGCAGGCTCGGGCCCACGCCAGGGCAGGCTCGGGCCCACGCCAGGGCAGGCTCGGGCCCACGCCAGGGCAGGCTCGGGCCCACACCAGGGCAGGGGCCGCCCACGCCAGGGCAGGCTCGGGCCCACACCAGGGCAGGCTCGGGCCCACACCAGGGCGGGCTCGGGCCCACGCCAGGGCAGGCTCGGGCCCACGCCAGGGCAGGGGCCGCCCTTGCCAGGGCACACCCACTCACTGGTCATTGCAAATGCAGATAATGGGCCTGGTCAGAAGGCCTCCACCCGCCTGGCGCCGTCCTCCACCCGCAGGCACCGCCTGGGTCCCTGGCTCCGCTTCCTGCGGACCTCCACGGTTCACGATGCTCAGGAGAACGTTGACGGCCGCCTTTGGGCAGGAGCAGAGGGGACCAGTGAGTTTTGGCCTGAGTCCCCCGGCCGCCCTGTGCCCCAGCAAGTAGGAGGGACTCACCGTAGGAGCCCCGTCAATCTCATCAATGATCAGGCAGTTGGGCCGGCCCCCTGCACCCAGCACAGACTCCATCTGTGTGGCCGCCTCAATGCGTGTCCGGAAGGCCTCGGGGCTACGGTCATCACTGCACAGCGTAGAGGCCAGGAGAGGGGTCACTGGCAGACACAGCCCCTCCCCAGGGCGGTCTCTGTGCCAGAGCCACACCCACACGGTGCCTACCACGAGACATGGCAGCTGCCAGCAAGGCCCAAGCGGGGAGTCATCCCACCCACAGCCCCAGCCCCCGCCCGCAGGAGAAAGCCCACCCTCAACCAGAGATGCGCACACACGCCTCCCACCTCGCGTTCATCTCCACCACACAGTACCCAGCGTGTCGGGCAACCACGTGTGCCAGCGTGGTCTTGCCCAGCCCCGGGGGCCCACACAGCAGTGCCACCTGCAGGTAAGAACAAAGGGTTCTGCGGCCCTGGCCTCTGGGAAGCTCCCACAGGACAGCCGGAGACGGGGACCAGAGTGCTCAGAGCAGAGGACCCTGCGAGAACTGACACAGCCAGCACCCTCCACAGCCTCCAGTGAGCATGGTCACCGATCTAACCGCTAAAACAGATTCAAGCCCAAACACAACCAGAGAAAAGGCTGATGCTGGCTCTTCACACCAGCCCTGGTGGTGTCACGCCTGCCCAACCTCTAGAACTAAGTTTCTCAGGAAGCCCTAAGGCTGCAGTGGGACCGGCTGCCAGAGACCAGACCTGCAGGCTCAGGGAGTCCACAGCAGCGCAGCACAGCACTCACCTTCTGCCGGGGCCTCCGGCTGGGGTCTAGCTCCGCCTCCAGCATTTCCTCCAGCACCTGCTCATGGCTTTTCCACTTGCCAGGGGCTGTGGCTTCCTTCCCTGTCCGTGCTGGCTCCACGCTGGGCCTGGGCTTCCGGGCAGGCCTCTCCTGCCCAAACACCACCAGGTCCCAGAGTTTCAGCCATTTGAGGAGGCAGCGGTTGGTGAACTGCAGGGGGGGAGACATGACCTAAGGGAAAGGTCCCCTGAGCCACCAGACCCACCACAGACGGGAACACAGGCTCAGGAGGAAAGTCCTGCCAATAGGTAAGAGCAGATCTCACACCAGGGCCTGCATCCTCACAGCCCTGAACCCAACTCCCACCCTAGCCAGGGAACTCCATCTCACACCAGGGCCTGTATCCTCACAGCCCTGAACCCAATTCCCCACCCTAGCCAGGGAACTCCAGCACCAGAAAGGTACCCAAACCCCTAACCCAGCTCACAGGTTCACAAGCAGTAATCCAAGTCTATGCTGACTCAGTTTCCCCATCTACAACTCCACACCACTGTAACAGGCTGGCAACACAACCCACAGCTAACCGAGAAAGCCGACCATCAGTCATATTCAAGCAAGAACACAGTCTCACGTCATCACTGAGCAGCTCCGTGTAGTGTTGGGGTGCAAATTCATCTACCCAGAGGCAGTGTTGGGGGGTGTCAGCAAGCTCTTCCTCAGGAGCACCCACAGGTTGGGCCTCTTCCTCTTCAGACCTAAGGCTGGAGAGTATGTGTCCTGAGCTAACAAGCCCCAGCTATGACCCCTGACCTGGACTGTGCTAACTGTGTATGCCACAGGGTTGGTCCAGGAACCAACACTGGACCCAGGAGCAGAAGGGCCATCAGTCACCTGTGCAGAAAGTCTGAGAGACGCTGGGTCTCTTCAAGCAGCCGCTGCCGCCGCTGTGCAAACAGAACAGGCTGAAGTCAGACAGCTCCGGTGCACAGTCCCTTCCCCCCCACCCCTGCCCCAACTGCAGGCCCCACCTCACTGTCAGCTTGCTCCTTCAGGGAGGTGAAGGACACACCCAGCAGGTCCAGCTGGCCACGGCCTCGCCACTGGACATTCGAGAGGGGGCTCTGGGTGGGGAGAAGACGGCATCATCTCTGGATACAGTGCCCACCCTAGAAGCTACCTGGCCAAGTGAGACGGAGGAGACCCTGTCTCCTTAGATGGGAACCAAGGACGAGAGCTTTGAGGGAGAGGAGCAAAGGGAGGGCAGGGTGGGGAATCCCTCGCCTCACGCCAGCCACAGTGGCCTGCAGACCGCCTCCCGCAGGGAAGGGCCAGGCCTTCCACTCACCCTGGACGGTGGGCACACCCTGCCGGCAAAATGGGCAAATATGATCTATTGCCCAGTCTGCAAAAGACCTTCTGGGACCACGAGGCACACTGGGGACCCCTTTCTGTAAGCACCTTCCTAGACAGCACCCACCTGTACCCCGGTGCCCATGGGGTCTGCTCGTAACACCAGAAAGGCCCGGTCGCCGCCGGTGGATGTCACATTGATGTAGTCCTCCAAGGTGGGAGGCCGCCTCAAGACAGGGTTGTGGGGAGCCGGCAGGGCGTGTGCGGGGCCCAGCTCAGCGCCGGAGTCCGGAGGCCTGGAAGGGGCCGGGCTCCAGCTCCCATCTTCCCGAGTGCCCAGTGCCCAGCTGGCTCCGCCACCGCCTCCCCACAGAACCCCGCCTCCCAAGCCCTCTGGACAGGTAAGGGAATTGGCAGTCCCTAAGCCACACACCCAACACCCCAGAGCTCTGGGGGAACGTCAGGACTCAGCGGGGGAGTGATGGCCCCAGGAGGAGACTCAGGAAACGGTGGTTCCTCTATCTCTGAGTCGAAGTTTAGCCTCTTCACCACTTCCAGCCTGGGGCGCTTGGCCCTGGGGGCTACAGAGACAAGCAGGGAAAAAATGGTCCCCTCCCCACTGTGCCTGGGACCCACCCCCTCAGGTCTCCCACCCCTCCTGCCCCCGCCCCACCCTCTCATCCCTCCCGCACCCCATCTCAGCCCCGCAACTTCCCTGCCTCACCCCTTCAGCACACGTGCACACACGCGCACACAGTGTCTCAGCCCTCAAGCTCCTGCACTCCAGGCACACACACACACACACACACACACACACAGTGCCTCATCCCTTCACTCCCGCACTCCGGGCACACACACGCACGCACACACACACTATCAGCCCTCATGCTCCCACACTCCAGGCACGCACGCACACACACACCGTGCCTCAGCCCCTCGCTCCCGCACTCCAGGCGCATGCACACACACGCGCACACACACACCGTGCCTCAGCCCCTCTCACTCCCGCGCACACACGCACACACCGTGCCTCAGCCCCTCTCGCTCCCGCACTCCGGGCACGCACACACACGCGCACATGCACACACCATGCCTCAGCCCCTCTCGCTCCCGCACTCCGGGCACACACGCACACACACACACACACCGTGCCTCAGCCCCTCTCGCTCCCGCGCACACGCACACACACACCGTGCCTCAGCCCCTCTCGCTCCCGCACTCCGAGCACGCACACACGCCGTGCCTCAGCCCCTCTCTCTCCCGCACTCCGGGCGCACACGCACACACACACCGTGCCTCAGCCCCTCTCGCTCCCGCACTCCGGGCACACACGCACACGCACACACGCCGTGCCTCAGCCCCTCTCGCTCCCGCACTCCGGGCACACACGCACACACACACACACACACACGCCGTGCCTCAGCCCCTCTCGCTCCCGCACTCTGGGCACACACACACGCACACATGCACACACCGTGCCTCAGCCCCTCTCGCTCCCGCACTCCGGGCGCACACGCACACACACACACACACACACCGTGCCTCAGCCCCTCTCGCTCCCGCGCACACACACACACCGTGCCTCAGCCCCTCTGGCTCCCGCACTCCGGGCACGCACACACACACCGTGCCTCAGCCCCTCTCGCTCCCGCACTCCGGGCACGCACACACAC